AAAAAAAATTTACAATACCATATTATTTACACTTAGTACCAACATTTTTATTTTATTTGGTTCCGGGTGAATGTTTTTTTGTCTGTAACCAAAAAAAAAATTGAACGTTATTTAGTATTATAGACTATAGTTTACAATTATAATATATATAAATTTAAAGTAAATTCATACCTAATTAATGAGGTTAGGTTCTAAATCAATTTTAAGGTTTTTCCTCAGTATGTGTCCTTATATGTCTTGTTAAATTGGATTTTGTACAAAATCCCTTATCACATATATCACATATATAAGGTTTTTCGCCAGTATGTCTTCTTAAATGGACTTTTAAATTTGATCCTGTAGAAAATCCCTTATCACATATATCACATATATAAGGTTTTTCACCTGTATGTTTTCTTATATGGCCTTTTAAAGCGCCTTGCTGACAAAACCTTTGATGACAAATATCACATTTATAAGGTTTTTTACCATCATGTAACCTTGTATGCGTTTTTAAATTTGATCCTGTAGAAAATCCCTTATCACATATATCACATATATAAGGTTTTTCACCTGTATGTTTTCTTATATGGCTTTTTAAATTGCTTTGCTGACAAAACCTTTCATCACAAATATCACATTTATAAGGTTTTTTACCATCATGTAACCTTGTATGCGTTTTTAAATTTGATCCTGTAGAAAATCCTTTATCACAAATACCACATATATAAGGTTTTTCGCCATTATGTTTTCTTCTATGGCATATTAAAGTGCTTTGCTGAGTAAATACAATATCACAAATATCACATATATAAGGTTTTTCGCCAGTATGTCTTCTTAAATGGACTTTTAAAGTCTGTTGCTGAGCAAACCTTTGATGACAAATATCACATTTATAAGGTTTTTCCTCAGTATGTGTCCTATCTGGGTTGTTAAATTGGATTTTGTAGAAAATCCTTTATCACAAATACCACATATATAAGGTTTTTCTCCATTATGTAACCTTGTATGCCTTTTTAAACTATATCCTGTAGAAAATCCTTTATCACAAATATCACATATATAAGGTTTTTCGCCATTATGTCTTCTTAAATGGACTTTTAAAGTCTGTTGGTGAGCAAACCTTTGATGACAAATATCACATTTATAAGGTTTTTTACCATCATGTACCCTTGTATGCGTTTTTAAATTTGATCCTGTAGAAAATCCTTTATCACAAATACCACATATATAAGGTTTTTTACCATCATGTAACCTTGTATGCGTTTTAAAATTTGATCCTGTAGAAAATCCTTTATCACAAATACCACATATATAAGGTTTTTCGCCATTATGTTTTCTTCTATGGCTTATTAAAGTGCCTTGCTGAGTAAAATCACCTTCTCACAAATATCACAGTTATGTTTTTCGCCATTAATGTAAACGTGTGTATGCGTAGTAATGAATTCGCTCAGAGTTACTTTGGCTTTGAAAGTAATTTCTTTAAATTTAAAATTAGTCAATATATTCGGTGTTCTGCTTTATTTCGGTATCAACTGTATTTTTGTCTTCTCAGTTTTAGGTCGAAAAAATTGAAATAAGGTAATTCAAAAATGTTACCTTTATAAAATAAATTAAAATAAATATACTACATATTAGCATTGATTATGAATTACTATACATTATCGCTCACTGCGTACAAAATAGTTAGAAAATTTGAGAAAACTTTTTTATAGTTGATAACCAGTCTTATATTAATTAAATTTTTAGATTTAACTATAAATCCATCTATTCAATATGTTCACGAAATATAGTAATATTTTATACTATAAATAGTTGAAATAATTATTCGAATTTTCAACTTTTGTATCTTTTTTGGTGTTTAAGTGAATTTGGTTGTTACTATTGAGAGTTAAACTTTATAAGTCTAACGGGAAAACAAAATAAAAATTTAAGGATAAATGAGAATTTTTACAAAAAATCCATTTTTAGACAATATTGATTTCCAATTTTGTATTTATGAAATTATCACTTAGTATTTATATTGTTAGTTTAAATGACGGACAAAATTTATTTTTACTCTTTTAGAACTATTTATAGATATATCAATTTGCCGAAATGTATTAATATTTTTTGTTGTTGATACCAATTAAAAAAATTGTTCGCTCTATTTCATAAAAATTTTAATAATTTAATATAAAGTGGCTTATAAGTGGTTATAAGTGAAACTTAAAAAAAAATTTAACCGTTAAAGTTATTTCTTATGGAACAATTTGCTTATTTGGTGCCAATTCAAAAACAATTAACCTTAGATATACTTAAAATGTTCACCGAATATTTTTGTTATTTCTTTCTATAAACCTTAAAATATACAACAAATTATTTTAATTCTTTTTGAACTTCTTGAAATGTTTAAAGTATATGATCTTATTTACACATAAGGTCATTTTCAAAATCAAAGTTTTTGGAAGAATATTTATCCTACCTACAGTTTTACGAATAGGATGAAATAATAATAACAATATCATAAATGTAGGGTACTTAGTAATATAGGCTAACAAACTGTGAACTGATTTATTTCATTTAAATCAAATTTGATATACCCATTACAGCAAAGCTGGGCAGTAACTAGTTATTAAGTTAAAAGTTGAGTTAAAAGTTACTTTTTTTATAATTTTTAACTTAACTAGTTAAAAAGAAATATAATATTAGATAATAACTTAAGAGTACGTAACACTGGTATTTGTTGTCTCCATCTTAACAGTGCGTAACATAGCAAATTTACACTCAGCAGAACACTTCCCAGATAGCATTTTTGTAATGATAATATCATAATGATATTATTATTTGATTAAAATAATAATATTTTAAAATATATAATAATTAGTTATAATATAATTGTTTTAAAAAAAATGTTTCTAAACTAATATCAATATGTCATCAAATAATTATATGAAAAATAGTATTACGTAGGTGTTATGTATATAATATTAAAGTTGGAATAATGAAATTATTATTAATAGTCTATTAAAATAAAAAAACTATATATTATTTTAAAACTATTATGGATAATATGCTATTAATTCTCCAATAATAAAATAACATGCTTAATAGTTAATACATCATTGACAGGTATAATTATTAAAATTAAAATAAAACAACTATAAAATTATATCTTATATTTAATTTAATTTTATAAAATAATACACACACATACACACACACACATGTATATATACCTATAATATTATATAATATAATTCATAAAAATAAAATAGTTCATTTAAGAGTATGCGTATTTATATACGCGTATAATTATACATATTATAAAAAGTTACTATAATACTGATCCTGCCCGGTGTTGCCCGTGACAATTTAAATGCCTATGTGAATTTACCACTCCTTAAACACTGTTAAATCTAAACTATATATAATATATATGTCGCATCCACTTAGTGAAATCGCTCATTTCATGAAGTGGAGTCCACTTCAGAAATGTATCCATTTAGTTGAAAATTACATTTTACTACACTATATGGACAATTTGTTGACCTTTTCATGAAGTGGATGAAATTCATTTTATCCACATCCTGTAATAGTATTACTATTATACATGAGCATTTTTTCATTATATTTTTTTTTTTTTTTTATTATCCTGACAATCCAGTCGACAAAGAGCCTACAGATCCACCAAATATTTTATGTTTAGTTGTTGAAAAAAAGAATAACTGTTTAAGTTAGGGACTAAAACTGAAATGATTAAAGGATGGTAGGAGGAGATGCTTAAAAAAAATGTGAGAAGTTTTTAACGAGTGACGAGGTTTTGTTGAACAAAGTGTCCTACTATTCGAGGGACTGTTAAAGTTACAACAGGTGGACAAGGCTTTTCTTCTTGTTCATGTAAATCGAAAAGAACATGTCAAAAATCAAGATCTGCCTGTTTTTAAAGAAAAATGATGTGCAATAGTCGTTGCCATAACTCTGAACCATGTAAAAATAAATAATATAAAATAAAAAATAAAGTTTAAGAAAACTTTTAATTTAATTTTTATACTTCATTATTTAAGGTTACCTATATTATATTACTTAATTATTATCATATTATCCACAATTACCTAGTGCAAATCGTACAATTACCCAATACCAAAAATACTCGTATATAATAGTAATATTACAGAATGTGGATAAAATGAATTTCATCCACTTCATGAAAAGGTCAATAAATTGTCCATATAGTGTAGTAAAACGTTATTTTCACTAAATGGATACATTTCATGAAGTGGGCATCCACTTCATGAAATGAGCGATTTCACTAAGTGGATGCGACATATACATATTTCTTAAGCCTGGTTCCGATGCCATTTTGTCCTCAAAAATACACTCTGCGGGAATAACGATACCGCCTTATTGTAGAATCAAATAAATTTTATAATTTCTTTTTAATTGTTAGAGAAAAATATTCTACAGCCCTCATCGATCTCTGTTTTTCAATATTTTATTCTCATATTTTATAACATGTCTAAAAAAATACAAAATAAAAGCATTTTTTTTTTACAAATTTCTTAATACAAATATTTGAAATAAAATACAAAATCAGAGATCGATGCGGAAGTCTTCTTCTTTCAGATAAAAATATAGTCATCAAAATACTACAATTCTACCAAGATTAAGAGTTATTCTTGTAAAGTAATTTTTTTCGATATAATACACTCTATAGTAACCCCCCTCCCCTCTAAATAGGCCGGCCATCGGGTAGTAGATTAGTGGAAAAAACTTATAATGAAGGTGGAAACTAAAATAAAAAATTTAATTTTAAAATTGTATAGCGAATTGTGGAGAATTTGAAAAACTGGCACCGGGACCCTTATTAACACGCAGTTATATTTGGATGTTTTGATAATTTGGGCATAAGTAAACTATGGCCAAATGACCTTTTTTTTTGTCAGCTGCGCCCGAATTTTTATGTATGTTAAAAGGTACTTACAACTTAAGCTGTGCGCAGTTTGTAAAATATATAAAACTTTTGAATTATTAAAGTCTCTATGATTGTGTACTTTTGCAATTATATCACAGAAATTAGTTTGTTGTCTAAAAATACCAACACTTTATCGAATAGTTATTGTAGTAATACGGCATCTACTGATGGTTATCAATCACTACATCCGGCATGGGGCTACTTAGTTCATATCGTACTCAGTTTAATCAGTAAAGTCATGATGGCCAAACAACTCGTTTCGCTGAGCGAAAAAAGCTTGAAAATAATAGAAAAATTTACATTTTGGAAAACTAATCAGCCTCTGAGTTCGGGTGAGGATAAGTGGCGATGTACAGTTAAAACTTGCACAGCATTTTTAAAAACGGTAGGTGATGACGAAATAATCACTGAATTAAATTTAAACCATAGCCATAAATCTTTAGGTGATCAAAAACAATTCGTGACTGGTGTTGTGAAACTCAAGGCAACTGAAGATATATGTACCAAACCTAGTAAAATATTTTGTACTGCTATTAAAAATGTGCCACTAACGGAACATTTGCAAGTAAGTGATGTAGGTAAGTAATATTAAAAGAAATATATATAATGCTAGAAGAAAGACATTGCCTCCATTCCCTAAATCAATCGAAGAAGTTCAATTAATTCTTGAGGAACGCGGTGTTCAAACAAATAGAGATGAGTTATTTTTATTAATAAACAACAAGGAGTTGAAATATGTGGTTTTCAGTTGCATTTCTAATTTAAAAGCTATTGCGTTATCAAAATGGTTGTCCATGGATGGTACGTTTTCATACTGCGATTAATACTTTACACAGATGTTTACAATACATGGTTTTATCAACGGCTATTATATAACACTCGTTATATGTTTACTCTCCGATAAAAGTACAATAACTACAATATCATACACTAATTGCTTAAAATCTATTTGTGAATATATTTTCCAAAACAATATAACTATTTCACCATCCGATGTTGTAATAGATTTCGATAAAGCTATTCATTTTGCATTTGAAACTGTTTGGCCTCAGATAACGATTCATGGATGTCGATTTCATTTAATACAGTCGTTGAATAGATGTATCCAACAAAATGGTTTGAGTTATGACTATAAAGATAAAAACAGCGACATTAGAAGGTGGTTAGTTAAATGCTATGGTTAACCATTCCTAAGCCCAGGAAGTGTATCTGAGTACTTTGTAAATTATTTAATGGAATCAAAGCCTGACGACGAAAGATTAACACGATTTTCTGATTATTTGGTAGATGTATAAATAAGTGAAGAAGCTCAGTATTCTCCTGAAATATGGGCTCAAGCATCAGCAGAACCAACTTTAACCACTAATGCATGTGAGTCATTTCATCCTCACTTTAATTCTAGCTTTTATATCTACTACTCATCCAAATATTTTCATGTTCTTAAAGAAGTTAAGTGAAGTTTAAATATAAATATATAATAAACTAAATAGTATAAATGTACCCTTTAAATACCAAAATTCTATGACAAGAAATAAACGCAAAACGTTACAACATTTAATTGATAAATATAATAGTGGTCAAACTCCAATTGATGAATATGTATCAACAATATGTTTTTTTTTGCCCTAATATTGTACTTTTTAAGACTATTTTTTTTAATTTTTAATTTTATTGTATCAATTATTAATGCTATAATATGGCTGTAACGAATTAAATATATTAAAGATTGTAATTTTAGATTAGTAATTCTGTAATTTTATTTAATTTGGCAAAAATATAGCTATTCAATTTTTAAAAGTTTTGCCGGGTTTTGCCAGTTTACATATCACCTTTTTACACACGATAAGAACTCGGGCGCAGTTTACATATATGATTTCGTGTTTACCTGTACGTTGAGCGCAGTGTACGATCGCCGAATAATTTGATTAAATATAAAATACAGGTGTAAAATAATACCCAATTGATAATATAATATAATATACTAGCTGAACACCTTCTATAGGTAGGCTTTGCCCGGGAGGTATTCGAATATTTTATAAAAAAAAAAAATGATGTTGAAAAAACTACTTTATATATATATCTCTTTAATTTATACAATTTCTTTATACATATATTTCTATTAATATTAGGTACAATACTTCTTTGTAAACAATATTTTTTGTGTTTTGGTGAGGCGCATATACACATTAGGTTTTTTGCCAAGCTGACACGGGAGCAAGCAAAATACAATTTTCCGTGAGTAAAACAGAGATACGTGATATCACGGCCTGCGACCTTCAGTGCCAAATATTTATACGTGTTTCACGATGCAATATATATATATTAGTACCTATATATCTATAGATACCTATAGGTATTACATTACATTTTTTCTTTAAAAAAATCATAGATTGTGTATATAGGCGGTATTATACAATAATTTGAAAAGTTTTCATTTGTGACACGCAAGATGGGTATTTATAGGTATTACGCCCTAGAGCCCTTCTTCACCCAGGATAAATACTATTATACTAACATAATATCCAGAATATTGATCCAGCTATATCTAATATATCTGCTAAAGTTTTTCGTTTTTCCATTATATATATATATTATATAATATTATGATACATTAGGTACTTCAATACTTGTGAAAACTCCGTCATAATCTGTCCATCTGTTTCGAAACCTTTCCTGGACAAACAGATGACAGACGATAGCTGAGTATAATATGTATGTGCGTGTTTCATGCAATAATTACGTGAATTTAATCTTGTTCGTTTAATATCTTATTATATCACAGCCTATAATATACATACTGTAATTTAAGAACATAATATTTGCATTCGTGATATAGGTAGGTACTTAAAAAACCCACGGACAATGTTTTTAACGATAATAGTTTCATAGGTATAAAATGTATAGCCCGAATAGGCCTTAATTCACTTTAATTTTTAGACTAATGAAGCCAAACGATGAACTGCAGCTGAGCGTAGTGCGTTATGCATATTTTGTAAGACGCGGAGACAACAAATGCACGTAAAGCGCCCTCTAAACTTTAAATGTCATAGGTACCTTGTACCTTGTGGCATATTTGCATGGATTTTTTGAGTTTTTAAGGTCATAACATCCAAACCATAGATAATAGATACATTATTTATTAACTATGGTCCTATCCCTTTAGTCATTACCTAAATTATATACATATTAGTGGAGTGTAGGTTAATGTTAGTTATTGATGTATAGGTACGTATTATATACCTAGGTAATTAATATAATTAATAATATTATATAGGTATATATGTTGCAATGTACCTACTATGTGCTATTATATATTAATATGTTATATGTATATTATTTATTTATAAGGTGGCTCAGTATACATTATGGGTTTTATCATAATCGTGACAATTTATTGTGTCATAGATGTTATAGATATTATAATACTTCAAACAAAATAGGTTTTTGATTTCGCCTTCTTTATATTTTGTTTTGCTATCTGTGAATTTACGTCCAAGTAATCATATTATATTGAGAAACCCTCTCCCACTAGACAACTATTGGTAATCACGCTCATCGCCCATCGGTAATCTATCATAATTATTTATGTCGCGTCGTTCCAACTATATTTTAGAATTATCTGGGTTTTTCCGACTAGCACATCGACGCAACACGATAACAATGTTGATACACGAAATTACTCGCCGTTTGAGAGAGGTATGCAGTACTCCCTCCACCAGTTCACCATACAATATACGACTTACTCTTCCATAATTCTGTGGTGAACAGCGATTTTTAACCGCTGTCGGCACTCCGTACTTTCTTACCACACACGCGATTAAAGCATTTAACCATAGAATAAAATTGATTTAACCAATCGCCCTTTAGGCTTTTACAATCAACTGCTAAGTATTTACGACACGTTTTACAGTCTATTCGGTCAGTAAATATAATTATCATAATATTCATAATTAAGCTCGTAATTAAGTATATATCTGTGGAAAAATGGCAGAAGCTGAAATGTACATTTTACAAACTTAGTTTTTCCACTACATATATTTTCAAATAATGACATATCAGTTGCTACACAAATAATAGAGACATATTTTCCACCACTTGAAATATACGACTTCTAAACTATTTAAATGATAATTAAAAAAATAACAAAATGTACATATCAGCTTCTGCCATCATTCCACAGATATATTATAGTATTATCATTAGGTGTGTTTTGAGGTGTAACCGGCGCTAACCGCTAGTAAACTGTTTACTGGTATCGTTTTCGCGATTACGGTCACTGTAACCAGGTAACTAATTTCGTGAACGAGTTTAGTGAATTTTGTAACCGTCGATTTCGACTTGGTAAGAAGGTTTACTGAGGTTCGGTTACTAAAAAGTTTATGATATCAATTGTTATCAAATATTTCAGTAAACAAAATATTGTTCAAGCAATTGTTTTGGCGTTCCAGTAAACGTTTTCTAACCGTATTCCATAACCATAAACTTATTTACTAAACAGTTTACTCCGCCAAAACACGCCTATTGTAAGTAGCTAAAGTACTGATAGAACATAAAAATTAAAATATAATTAATATACATATTATTATTATTAAGTGAAAACAAAACGTTGTGTGGTCCGTGTCTAAGATTTATTCTACTCTTCACTTTTGACTAAAACTCCAAAAGGCTTGGTTTAATTTAGTTTAATTTAGTTTAATTTAATTTAATTTAATTTAATTTAGTCTGAGTTAATTTTAAACATAGTTTTTTAGATAGGGTCAATAGTATAATAATATTACAATAGTCAAAACTCAAAAGATACTTAAGTAGTTAAGTGTATACTGTATAGATACATCATACATGAACACTGACAAAGTATAGACTATAGGCATAGATTAGTATAGGATGTTTAATCTATGGTATGGCTAACAAATTATAATTTGATCTGTGTATGCGTGAGCGGCCAGTGTGTGTATTTGTTATAGTTTTGAAAGAACAAATTGTTTTATGAAAATAGTATATTATACAATAAAAATCATTGCACAATATACAATATAACATACAATACAATTAGGTTACCTAAAGTGACGGCAATATAAGGTTCTTTATTTAAAAAAAAAACCTACCTAATTGTTGTAATTAATATTTTAAATTTGTAGATACCTACCTATAATATTTATCAAACTAATAGTCATACATTAATGTACACGACTGTCGAATAATAATAATGAAAATTTACAACAGGGTTTCTTATATAATATTGTATGACAAATATACCTATTAAATAGATTAATATATATTTACCCATGTTAATTATTACTCGTTACTATTATAGGTACTACTACTCATAATACTTTTTTTATAACATATTTTACCATAAGCCAACTACCCAACCCTATAGATATCACTTTTCAATTGTATTATTAATAGGTTATCTGCAGTAAATAGGTATAGGTATTCTACAAATGTGCCTTCCTATCTATATAATATTTTACATATATTATTTTCTTATAACATAAATACATTCATTTTGATATTTTAATTTTTCTTTTATACCCAAGTCAATTATAAAAGTATAAAACAATATTTTAATTTCAGAAATAATGG